AAACGAATATCTCACGTGCAACGCAAAAATATCTTACTTATAATATACTTTTCATATTGTATATTCATCAATTGATTGTATGAATTATCATATATGCAACACAAGGGATTAAATTTAGATTCTTTTATTTTGAGATGACCAATAAGTATATTATCCAACATAAAAGTCTACTTTTACTTTCTTTGCAAGAATTATTATACGCCAAATGACATCTTTCACATTCTCATTTCTAAATTTTAATAGATATAGTTCTACAAATGAAGGTTTGTTTAGTCATATTTTTTTTTTTTGCATTCATAATTCCAAGCCTTTTATTGGTTATAAAGTTAATGATTTTTTTTAATGTGACGTAAAGAAGGCCTTGCAATCATTTTCTTTAGTTATGTTTTCCATGTTACATTTTTCCTTCATCTGAAATTATGAGATAAAGTAAGAAAAATTGCACACATAAATAAAATATAACAATAACAGTTTATAATTTTATTTTTTAAAATAAAATTATAAATTTTTAAAATAACCTTATATTCTTAATCATTACGTTATAATATTATTTTAATTATCTCTTAATTTAAAGGGTAATATTAAAAATGTATAATCAATAAAACTTTTTTTTTCAAATTATCTTATATTTTGATATAACAATATATCCTTTAATTTTGTCTTAAAATTTGGGGCGAAAAGAGTACTATATTTCTCAAAATACCCTATAGATGATCATGCATGAAACGGTCGGAATTTAGCCTAGAATCATGAACACAAAAAAATGTTTGTTAGAATTTTTTCTTTGTAACGCGATTTTTTAAAATTTGTGGATGGCATATTAAATATTTTTTCTTCGTCAAAATTTTAGGAAACTATCATTTAATTTTTTTGCGAATACCAATAAAATATATTAGACTTTGTTAACAAGTTTACTTTTACTTTCTTTACAGGAATAATTAAACTCCAAAAAATGACACTAACATTTCAAATCCTTGTATTAGGCCTAATTGCTACAATTGACAGTTTATTTTTTTAACATCATAATTAATTTGATTTCAATTCATTATAAGATCAATTTAAATTATTTTTATGTGACTTAATAAAGAAATTCTTTCTATTCAATTTTATTTTCTTATTTTTCATGTTGCATATATATTCATTTTTCTTCCTTCAGCTGTATCGATAATAATCAGTGCAACGCACGGGATTCTCTATTTTGAAAATTTCATCATATCTTATTTTTCAAGGATATTTCATGAATTCAATATGTTTCAAATGATTTCAATAACATAAAATTTCTAACACAATAGATTTAAAATTTTTTAATAATACTATATTAACATTTACAAATATTATTACATCCACAATATAACATGATTTATAATTTCATTTTTTCTTTAAATTAAAAATGTACTAAAAAATCTTTGATATGTATGATAAGGCAACTTCATTATTTGAAGTTAATTTTACAATCTTTTGTTTATAAAATTTTGTCATACTTTTCTATTTGCTTAAAACTGTAATGCAAGAGAGTCCGTCTAGTTTTAAATAAATGGTGATCAAAATATCTAACTATCCTCCGAAAGTATTCTCCGATCCATCCTCTCTCTCAATAGCTAGCCACAAAAGAATAGTACTGTAAAGAAAGTCACATGTGAAGCCAAATGGTTGTCTCTTGTCGGTTGGTCTACATGTCAAATGTGCAATTGAAGCTTGAAAACATCTCTTCCTTGATTAGAAAGACACACTAACCTTATGCTATGTAAGGAAAATAGAGAGGAGAGAATACTAGAAGAAAAAGACATTTTTATCTTGATATATAAAATTGTTCATTTAGCTTTTCCTTTCTCTGAAGGAAAAATTAGAGAAAATAAGGGTGAAAGGTATATTTTTCCTATAGTTTTTCTATCGCCCTTATATTTTCTTAACCTTCCGAACAAAGCCTAATATTGTTTCTCGTTCCTATACCAAACAGGAAATTAATTATAAGAATTAATCAAAAAAGGGATAGGTAGACTTGAGCATTTTCTACAACACACCCATATTCGACCGGTATGTATAGGATCACAAGAGATCATGTATCATTGTAGACAATGATGATGAGCTGGTCAGCACTTGATTTTACAGAGCCAAAGACGTGCTCATTAGCTACATCATCCATCCACGACTCAATGGTTTTGTTTCAACCCTAGGTCACATTCTTTATAAATGCTTGTCTTTACACACACACACACACACACACACACACACACACACAATACTGCAATTCACATTATATTTATTATTGCGCATTTTTTTGGTGATGTTACATTGTTCTATATGTGTTTGCTACTAAAACAAATACAAAATTGTTTAACTATATATAATTATAAAGACTGCGTAACAATACACACTGGACATCACCAAAATGACTACAAATTTGTCCTCGTCGCATACTCTGAACACCTCTTGGTCAAAACAATATATCAACTTTTCAATATCGCATTGCAAATTTCATTAATTTAATTACGTGATCATGTCGTTATAATTGTACTTCTCATACTGTGAAGCACTGTGTTTATAGGGTACATACGTGTCCTGTGGCCAGGAGTCCACTAGCCCTAAAACACAAAATAGCCAATGATATAAATTGATGATAAATTTGTCCATGCTTTACTTGAAAACAAACAACTAAGCAAAATTACATATCATAACTTAAAAAAAAAAAAAAAAAGAGGCAACCCGTACGATATGAGGGGTCGCGAGTACATATATAAGATGATGTACGATGAAATTTTGACAGAAAGGAAACCCCTTTTTGATATATCATAGTGAAAGTGGACATATATATAAGTGGGCATATATATATGTCACATATGTATAACGTGCACCGCATGATATTTGATGGATATCTGACTCATAATCCAATTGATTGGAGAGTCTTCGTGTTTGATCTCTGATAATTTGACATTCTATCATTGTTAGTCAATAAAGGAGCCCAGTCATGTCAGGCTTAACAAAATTTGCCAGCACTTAACATTACCGCCTACATATCCACACGCTTTCTGATTTGCTAGATTCTTTCTGATGTGATCCTTCCACCAGAAAGCTTGATATATATGTCACCCTTCATCATTTCCATTATTGTCTGTTAAGCTCATATATAAATTAATCACTATATGTGTCGTTCTTTCAATAACGGGTTTAACATTATTTGTTACTTGACTAATAAAGTTGTTGAGTGCATATTCAGTCTACAATAAGATGATGAATGGTAGGGAATACAAGAACACTCTTGTCTTAGCTCATCGATACATCTCGTCATCAGTTTTTCGGTATATGGAACGAGTTTTTATCACAAATGAAGTGCGGAGAAAAGCATTACTACTCTAAAGTCAAAGCAAAACTTCATGAGCAATATGAATATTGATTCAATTCATTACCGGGATCGATACATTCCTTTGTATTTTCGTTTACTAATTAAATACAGTAGAGCGTGCATGAGTCTTCACATTTAAAAAAGAAATTGTAAATAAACCAGAATTCTTATATATTTTAGCTGATCAGCACCTCTTATTGTGATTGCTTTTGGTGGATGGACTTTCGTGGTATATCTCTGACAGGGTCTACACGACTCTTAATATTTGCACCCTATCATGTTATTGAACACTATATATATAATATCACTTCCTTCAACAAATAAAATCAATGCTGTAAAACATAGTTCTGCAGAATTTGAAAACCAAAACCCAACGCGGAATGACTGTGGAAAAGATGTAATATAAATATAAACAGATTTTTGCTGCTGGCTGAATAATATATACCTTTCTTGACTTTCTCTCTCTTTCCATCTCTCACATATATCTGGATATAAATATAAACAGATTTTGACTGGCTGAATAATACCTTTCACATAATCAACACACAGTTTCTGGCCGTGGATTTTGAAGCTAACAAACGCACACATGCAGAGTATATATAGAGTTTGCTTCACTGTATTTATGGCGCATGGAACCCAATTACCAGGGTTAGGGGGAGCTTCGTGCACCATCAGTTAGCGGCATAGATAAGTGAAGAAATAATGTGTTGGACTTGGGTGATTCACGCACGGCACATTTAAAGACTTGAAGGGACAGCACCTTGTTGATTTAAACCACATGAATTTGTCGTCTCAGATATGTAAAAGTTTTGGCTCAGATTCCCACGGAGTCTCATTTCGGTGTAGGAAGGTATGAAAACATCATACGTGTCTATGGCTTATGGTTGTCTTGCTCTCTCATTTAAGTGACTGTGTCGCTTTCGCATGAGCGTCCTCATCAGTCCAACGCTACTTCAATTCCAGTTTCCATCTTGTAACTCCTTCCAGTTCCCTTTCTCACCCTCTTTAATTTCTCTCTGCTTCAACCACATGATGAAACCTACTTTTAATTATCTCCCCGGAAATTGTACATATACACAAATCTGTTATGGCTAATAAGAACTCAGCCCTAATCACGATGTGAATGCTTTTTTGCCATTGGTGAACCAAGTTGCACAGTGGCTGATATATATGCCCCACTACGTGCACTCCGGTTTATTGGGTTTGTGTCTGGCCTATGCCAAAAGGATGTGGACATGTGTTAAAATAGGTTAATTACAATATACAATGACATAATTAATGGGGACAAAGGAAACATTACCAACAGGGGAAAAAAAATACATACAGACACGCACGAACGTACGCTGGTCGACTGACATAAAATAATGATTTGCAGTTAGAAAAAGCTTTAGTTTTATTTTGGACTTGTGCTGCTGATGCAGAAAAGATAACGGAGCATTCCTCGACCGGTCGTAACGCAAGAGGATCCCATTAATTTGAACTACTCTCCTCCTAATATATTTAATTTGTTTGTTTTTGGTATTAACTGATGAAAAGCACCAATTTACCATACCCCAAAAAAGATAATTAATAAAAAACTAATCACGTGCATGAGTTTTTCCAACCCCCACAAGGTGGCTTTGTAGACTGTAATTATATTGTTTGTTTAAATAGAGGGCTTTGAAGTCTATTTCCCATCCTCTGCAATTTATTGGAAACACCCAAATTAATTGTCTCTTCCAGTCCTCTTCAGAGCTTACAACTCTCAGTCTGATCTTCGTTCTCACGAACATGTCAGGAGCAACCACTATAGGAGACACGAGGGCTGAGTTGTGGCGAGCTCGGCTCGGCTCGGCTCTTCGAACCACCTTGGCATGCACCATAGTAAGTTGCACCGTCCTGCACGGCCCAGCGTGGCTCCGGCAATACCTCGAGTTCCCGGCCTTCTCTTACGTGACGACCATCCTCTTGGTGTCGGGTGATGCAAACCTGGGTGACACCATCAGAGGTTGCTGGCACGTGTTTTGTGCGACCCTTCAGGTTATGATCCTGTCCATTGTTGGGCTGCGGGTGGTGGGACCTGCCCACTTCACAAGCCCAGTGGCGGCGACAGCTGTGGCTGTGAGCGCATTCGTGGTGGCGGTGCCGGAGGCAACACACTTGTTGACAAAGAGAATCGCATTTGGGCAGCTAGTGATTGTGTACGTGAAGACAGTGATACGTGGGGCAGAAGCTGGAGTTTTAAAGCATCCAATTCACGTGGCTTCTTGTACTGCCCTTGGAGCCTTGGCTTCTGTCTTGGCCATGTTGATTCCATATCCTCGACTTGCTCATTTTCAGGTATATCAACTCTGGTCTCTTTTGTTGTTCTATTAATCCTGCGATTATTTTATACTAATTCATATAGTTTTACAACAATAATATTCATGCTGTCGTCCATGATGAGTTGAGGTGTTTATTATAATCCTTTTTAATTCAGAGGGACATGATTATTTCATTTATGCTTCTGAATTCTCGTCAATATAGTTATGAAAAAGCATGTTAAAACTACATTTTTATTTAAAGAAATTTAGTCTGGCAAATCAAGTTTTCACCAAGAGAGTGGCAATGCGAGGAGCATTTGCTTGTTTGACACGTGTCCATGTGCAAGAAGAGAGATATTTTGGTGAGGTTTGATGGACATGCCCTCATTTAGCATCAAGAGACAAGAGGCACCAAAAATATTATATAAATTTGTATTTTAGAACCAAAGCTAATATTAATATGATATTCTCGCTTTACGGAGAGTAATAATAATAATTTGTCAAAAAGATATTTAACCAACCCAGCAAGCAATTTCCCACAAATTGATCTGCAAATTGCGATCTTAAGGCATCATCTTGTCTCCCAGCGCACGTTTCGCGCGCGCGCGTCTGTTGGTGCGAGTGAGGGGGCTTTTTGTTGACTGGAAAAACCAAGTAAATTATAACTAAAAGCATATTAATTATTAAGAATCTAAAAACTCAATTAATCACAATCCACACAGAAAGATCTAACGTTACGGGAAAAAATTAATAATCTTTCGAGACATCTTGAGCACTTTTACACATGTTTACCTGATATAACATTATCTTGGTACAACCTATGCAAGTGATGTGTTCAGGTTTAAGTCTGACTGAGAGACCTGCATTAAGCGTTGCGTTTTGAGGAACAAAATGAAAGGACGAAGAACTGAAAATTGTACAGTCTGCTAGGAGATAATGGGAACAAAAAGGACCGATTCAAAAGATAGTGATCATAATTCGCAAAATGAAAAAAAGGAGGAACCGCCATAATTTGACCTTTCTAGTTTCTATATGCGTTATTGCATTCCACAGCCACCCAATCATCTCCAATTCATAACAATCCTTTCACTATATGTTTTAAGAATCTACTGCACATTGTAACAATCCTTGGTTTCATTCACACGTCAATGTTCTTGGCTTTCAGGTAAAAAAAGCATTCGGATTATACGCTGAGAATGCTTCTGAGAGGTTTAGTCACAATCTAGAGGCTATCTCTGCATCAGACAACTCAACTGCTCGTGGCTTGTGCATTCAATCAAAGTCCCTGGCTAAAGTAGGAGCCAAGCTTCTCCAGTGGGTTAAGAGTAACCTGGTAAGCTAATGTTGTCATAAAACAAAAGGCAATTAATTTACCCTTAGGCAATTCAATTGAGGTAAGTATTTATTTTGTTCTTCGCAGGATGGCATGCGTTGGGAAAGGCCACGAACGAGGGCCTTCTATGAGAAACTGCAAGACAAAGAGATACCATTACGAGGAATGGACATTGCTCTCTCAGGCTGCACTTCATTTCCTGTTGGCTTCATCGATGAGGAGCTCAGGGGTGTTTTGCTCGATTACAGAGGACGCCTGAGCCTCAAATTAGATAAACAAGCCTCGTGCTTTGCTTCTTTTAATGCAAGCACGGCCCCAGCAAGGAAGAACAAAGAAGAAAACTTGAAAAGTTTCCCGTGGTCTCTCAAGAACTTATCCATAACTTATAAACACCTTCCAACTTCATTCTTCCTGTACTGTGTTCAACTCCTCCTAGAGGACACCCCTATTGCTACGAACACCAACAAGACGGCAGAGAAAGCCCAGAAAACTGATGCTGACGAGCGTGGAATCCTCAAGAGGATCAAAGAGGTTATCATTAACATGCTACCCAGTAGCCAGAATCTGGCTTTTGCATTCAAGTGCTCAGTTTCTTTGGGACTTGCTGTGTTCTTTGGTTTGTTATATGACAGGGAGAATGCACTTTGGTCGGGACTTACAGTTGCCATCAGTTTTGTCACGAAAAGGCAGCCAACGTTCTCCGTTGCCAATGCTCGAGGACAGGGAACAGCAATGGGATCGACCTACGGGGTCATTTGCAGCTTTCTGCTCCATAAGTTTGGGGCTTTCAGCTTCTTGTCTCTTCTGCCATGGGTCGTTTTCTGTTCTTTTCTAATGCACAGTAAAATGTACGGCCAAGCTGGTGGGATGTCTGCAGTTATAGGGGCCCTCCTAATTCTTGGAAGGAGGAATTACAGCACTCCTGCACAGTTTGCAATTGCTCGAATTGCCGAGGCTACTATTGGACTGACATGTTTCATAGTTGTAGAGATTATGTTTAACCCTTCGAGAGGCAGAAGTCTCGCAAAATCTGAACTTTCTAACAGCTTCAGGGCACTTCAAGATTGCATTGACACTATCATTGTGGATTCTAGCGATAAGCAAAAGCCATGTTGGAAAACCTCTCAAGAATTGCGTGAGAGACAAGAGAACCTCAAGTCTATCGTGGTTCAATTAGAAGAGTTCATAGAGGAGGCCGGGTTGGAACCAAATTTCTGGTTCCTGCCTTTTCATGGTGCCTGCTACAGAAAGATACTGGATTCCTTGTCAACGATGACAGATCTCTTACTTTTTGTGGCACACTTAATAGATAATGTGTCAAAATTGTCAACGAAAGGAGTAATGCCGGCTCAACTACAAGATAGAGTGAATGAGACCATAGAGATTTTCAAGGCCAAAGTTATCCCCACTCTGAAATGCCTTGAGGAGATAACCCGGATTAAGTCTCTGAGGAAACTTGAACGAAAGGGGAAGAAAAGAAATCGTAATAGCGACATCGAGTTAGCTGAACACCCCAATGCAGATTCCGTTAGGGTGCTGCGTGGGAATGAAGAGGTTGAAAGCATTACTTGCTCTTTCCTACAGCATTTGGAGGAGATGGCTGACGCAGTCCGTTCTAACTCAGATGAGGAGGCTGTTAGAGGCCAAATAATTGTTCAGTATAGTTGCTTGGCATTCTGCTTCAGTGGCTTGACCAGAGAAACAATAAGGGTTGAGAATAAAGTAAAAGAACTAGTGATGTGGGAGAATCCCTCGAGCGATTCAAGCTTCAGTGAAATTTATTGCAAGATCAATGCCCTACGTTCGTAATGAACTTTAGCCCCATATCCTGTCTTGGCCATACTAACTAACCAATTAGATGTATGAGACATATCACAACAAATATAATATATATATATATATATATATATAATCTGTATAATTCATAAACTATATTCAGTATGATTCATTTTTTGAACTTCCTGTAAGATACAAGGTCATATGTAGTTTAAAATCATTTGGAGCGCGACTCCAATAGTTGATATTTGTAACCCAAAATGGAATAAATTATTGTAGTCAGTTAGGCGGGGTGGAATAGATGAAATGTGAAACTCCAGGGAGAAAAGTTATCAATTATAGATTGCACTTAACTTGATTGCATCGAAACAAGGTTGTAACTTGTAACTAATCTAACAAAATCCTCTGACCACACACCAAGTGGAACTTATTTACTATTTTTAGATCTAACCACATTTCCTCGGAAAGACCTGGTGTTTGGAAGCGCACACAGATACATCGCAATGATTGGAGTAAATGAACTTGTGTTTTTGAAAGTTACAACGGTAAGATAACATTCACATTCCCAAATTTAAGTTCTCAATTGATATCAACTCAAAGTCTACCTTAGAAACAGCTCACAAGATCTATAACATGAATATTACATCTTCAAAGGGGTCCTAGTTTCCTTCATACTTTGGGTCAGCCATGACATAGTGGTACGCTATTACCAGAACAAAAATAAAAATGCCAAGAAAATTGGCAAAGAATCCCAGATCTTGATCATCCATCGTCTGTAATCACGCGCAACAAGCATAATATGTCAGTACCCAATACATAATTTGTTTAACATAGTTTTGCACCCGATAACTCGAATTCTTGAAAACCAAAGATGTAAAGACTATTCATAACTTGAAACACGAAGTAATCTGAATAGAATTGGGACTGCACAAAGGAAACTAGATAAACTCAGTATCCCTGCCACTACATTACTAAAAAAAAAAAAAAAAGAGGCTTCATAGTAAATTATCTACCTTCACAAAGCCCCATCAAAAATCACTTCTTAAACTATTGCTAGTTTTCTCACGACTTTGGGCAACCCATGAAACAGAGGAGCGTCCAAATTATTAGAATTTCAATAAAAAATGACAACTTAATAGTATTTCATGACAAACCAATTTCGTCCCCCAAACTTCACATCTCAGTCGATTACAGTGCGAACACTAGGAACATTCTTGCGTACACACTCCGATCTAAAAATTGAAATAGTCTGATACCAAACTATGGACACGACAACGTGAATCGAAACACAGAATGAGCATCCGCATAAAAAATCTCTAATTTAATTGAACTGTAAAACGTAAAAACAAAAAAAATAATCGCAAAAGTCATATGACTCATCTAGGGGGAAAAGCAATCAAAGAAAGCATCAGATTCGGAGTCTTCAACAAAAGGCAAAAGGCGAATCGAATTATAAGAATTCAATAAAAGAAAAAACTGATACTGATTTTACCTGTTGATGCTGTAAATCTGTTTCGTTCTCTTCGTCGAAGCGAGTATCGAGTCGCTTTTCTTCAATCCTCCCCCCTGCAGGGTCTCGAAATCGTCAATGGCAAGTTTGGTGTGAAACTAAAGAAATAGTTGCGAAGAAATCAGTAATCCTGGGCGATACGTCACGGGCCTGTAACCATGCTTAAAGCCCATTGTCTTGGTCCAAATTCAACAGGCTGCTCAAAACAAGGCCCAAACAACAGGAAAGTTGCAAAAGGTAAGCCAGCTCTGCGTCTTACCATGTCTCTTGCCGACTCTAGTTTTCCGCCTTTTTAATGTTGATGTGTTTTTTAAAAAAAACAAAAGAAAAGAAAATTCCCACGCCTTGCCCAGCACTGATTGGCAATTGCATCTACTTCAAAATTAAAATAAGTGATACACATTTAGTCATTGTAATTCAGATACCTCAAATAAGTTTATTAAAATATAGTTTGAAAAATTAAAATAAAGGATACATATTTAGTCCTTGTAATGAGAGTTAGGTTTGATAGAAAAGATTACCTCCTTACAACATGACAAATGAATATTGAATTTTTTATTGAAAGAGTTGCTTATATTTAATAATAAATTGTGTCTCAAATATCACTGTCTCTGTAGGATGGCAACTATGTGCAATAAAAAAAAAAACCCTAAAGCTACATAATGTTAAAAAATTAGTTTAAAACTTAAACGCTAATGCAACAAGCAATGCATTTCAGAAGTTGTTGTGTTCATTTGTGGTCTTCATGAATGCTTTGAATAGATATTCATTTCACTTAGATCAAGAATGGCCTTAAACACTAGTCACTTTGTTGCACCAAAACGACACCTCTACATCTTTAAACCAACATATAATAGCAAAATGTTATTGGATAGTATTGCAAATTAATTCCACATATATCTGAAAATTACGAATTAAGATTCTGTAGAAAGCTTGAAATGTCTACTTTCTAATATAAAAAATAATTATTCAAAAAATTTATTACTTATTGTGAACATTGTATTTTGTCCGAATATTTGTTTAAATTTAATAAAAATAATAATAAATAACCAAAAAATATAAAAATATAAAAATAAAATTTAATCCGTTTTAGGACTATATTTTCAAAATAAAAAATATTTAATTAATAGGTTTAATTTTATTTTAACCTAGATAATATTTTATGAGTTAGGATCTTATTTCTTCATTAAAAATAACTAAAAAAATTTAAAAATATAAAAATAAAATTTAATCCTTTTTAAGATTATGCTTTAAAAAAATAATAATCTAAAAAAATTTTAAAAAAATCTTTCTTAAATTTAAAGAAAAAAATCTCTCCTAAATTATCTCAACCATTCAAAATATTAAAAATTAACTTTTGAAAGTTAATTCTTTTAAATTAACTTTAAAATTGGGTTAACAACAAAAAATTAGGTCAACAAAAAATATAAAAGAATAATAATAAAAAAATTATAACAGTAAAAACAAAAGGGGTGGGTGAAATGATAAATCATCCACCCCAAAAAATCGCCTTTCACGACAAGATCAGAGACCAGATGCGATAGAAGAAAAAAAAGGGAAGCAGAACATGCGAACAGAGAGAGAGAGAGAGAAAACGCAACGGGAGAAGGGGAACAAGGCAAAAGAAGAGGTGACTGAGAGTTTGAGAGAGGGAGTTTTTTAGAAAAGAGACGGAGGGAAAGAGGAGGCCGAGATTAGGGAGAGTTTTCTAGAAAAAAAAAAGGAGATTGAGAGAAAGAAGAGGTTGAGATCAGGGAAAGAGTTTTCTTTAAAAAAAAGAGAGCGAGCAAAAATCTGATTCTTTTAGAAAAGGCCAAGAGCTTGAGATTATCCAGTTCTCAGAAGGTAAAACCGAGAGGAAGTGATAGTAAGAGATTGAGTGATTTGCTAGAATAGGAATGAGGAACAAATAGGATAGAGGAAGCGAAGCAAATAGGAAGGGCGAAGAACAAGAATAGTCAGTTGACATTGCTCATTTCCATTTGCTACAATAGGTTTGGAATCAATCTTTTCGCTTCCATGATCCTTTTCGTATTTTACTCTATAAAATCAGATTATTTTTTGAGAAAGTGTCTAATTATAATTTGGTATCCCTTGAGGAAATTCTCTACATGTGTTTCGTTCTGATTTATAAGATGTTTGGACTGAATGTGTAGATTAAATAATTTGAGAAAGATATTGGATCTACTTATATATGTCATTCGAATTTTACCAGTCTGATGCAAGAAATGCTATTTTAAAAGCTTGATTATAATGAAGCTCCTAAGGTGTTGATCTCGCGGTTTAATAATTGTGAAGGGTCTTAATATTGTGATCATATGACCCTACACCCTGTCCTGTTTAAATTTTACTTAGAATCGTCTTGAACATGACTTTGTTGAATATAAGTAGTCTTGATCATGACTTTGTTGAATATTTGTGTGTTAAAACATGTGTATTTCAGGGAAGTTTTCTTTCTTTGATAGGCATATATTTGATTTAAATTGTGGAATGTTTCTTTCTTTTTTTTTTTCAAATTTTAGTCTCTTTGACCGTTCATGGTTACACTTAAATTTTATTAATGCTTTCATTTTGTGCTATTTCAAATTATGAATAATGCCTTCCTTAGTGAATGAATCAAATGATCGACAAAATAAAATTTGCAGCACGGTGTGTAGATGCTTATGTACCAAATTCTGACCCTTGGTTCAGCCTAAGTCAGTTGACTCAATGGTACCAGGTTCAGCCTCAACTTCGCTATGTAGGAGAGGTTGCGGGATCGAACCTGGGAAGGCTCCCTTAGCGCAGTAAGTGCGGGGAATAACCCATGAACTACCATGGGAAAAGTCGGCTTGGTTGCCGTGAGGTGGCACGGCCCAGTCCACCACTCGCAGCAGTGGGCTCGGGGGGGTGTGACTGTTACACATTCATTCTTTGTATATTCACCTTAACTTATTGGCTTAAATATGTGTTGCTGGAATCTGCATTTAAACCTTTTGTTCTGTGATATATAGGTCCTCTGGAATCAGTTTTGGAATGGATACAGTAAATAGACTCTGATTTGTCAAATCAGAACGTTGGCATCTTTTACAATGCCATGATGGTTACTTGTGCTTTAGATCCGAAAAGTTATCCAATGATCTATTATGTTGTTTCAACAATTTACTATTCTGTTATTTATAAGATGATTGATGTCTTTGCCTTTTGGGTTGGCAATGCTTTGTATCTGTGAAGAACTTAATGATGTTGACTGCCTTGTAAAGAGCTATATGATCTTTCTGTCTTAGTTTCATTGACTTATATTGCATGATTTTACCATTTCACCGAACATTTTTGGTTGAGCACAGTCATCTTGAATTTATTCTCTATGCAACCCATGACTTATAGTAGAGCAATGAAGGCAATTGTAAGGAGATAGAATGCAAAGGGAATTTTTGGGTGGAAAAAAAAAAACTTGTTGGAAGAAAGAATAAATGCTTTGCCAGTTTTTCTGATTTTGGGAGTATGGTTTGCAGCTGATTTTCTGATTTCCATGAAGACATAGTTGTTTCTGCCTTTTTTTCCTGTGTACAATTGAATTGGCATTTTGTTGTTTGAAATCATTCATGTTTTCATTTTTCTAAGTTATTTAAAGATTGAACTGAACATCATTGCTTGAATGTATATTTCATTTATAACACTACTCCTTTTTCAATGCCTGCAGCTGACATTCATGAGGATGATGTTCTTATTGATAACCGCATTGTATGTTTTTCTCTTATTTTTGTCGTGAAATTTTTTTTTTGGCACTTTAGAAAGTAAATTATGGTTGGTTATTTTCTAATAAAAAGCTCTACTTTGTTAGATGTTCTACAAGGCTTCAAAATAGAGATTTGACAGTGATCCTAAATTTAAGGAGAGGGCACAACAAGCAGTGGCTTCAGGTAAATCATGCTAATTTTTAATTTCATAACTTCTGTTTTAATCTCCTCCAAAGTCCAAACACTTAATTTTAAGTTGTTTGGATTTATTTTGATTTGAGGGTGGAGAAACCAAATATCGTAAGGCGTGGGCATAAATTCGTGATATTAGTCAGATTGAAGTGGAAGTCCAATACAGGATTCAATTACAAAGATTAACAGGATTTAATTACAATATTTATGTTCTTTTTTCTTTACATCCACACTATAACAGGATTCTTAATTATAATATTTATGTTCTTTTAGTTAAAGATGTAGGTAAATAAATGCTTCTTATGTCTAATACGGCAACTTCATTATTTTATTTCAAATTTAATTTATTATCATTCAAAATTCATCATACTTTTATATGATGTCTAAACTTAGGAAAGCCTCGTACTCATTTTGTTTAGTTTTGATTTTCATATTACATACTATATTTCTGAATAAATTGCATGGATAATTACACGTGCAATCCACAAGACTTAGCCTACAATCATGAACAATAAATGATTTATAATTTCATTCTTTTCTTCTTTAAATTAAAAATATATTCAAAAAATCTTTGGCATCTTTAATAGTTCATATATTTGTTCTGTCCACTTTTAAACTGTATTTTGTCTAACAAAAGACAATGTTATTACTTTGATTGAAATTTTGTAAATAATATTATCTATATTACTTCTTTCAATTTTTTAAAATCAAACCTGTGGATCTTATATTTCAATTTATAGTTTTTTGATACACTAGATTAATTGAAAATTAATCATTTAATTTTTGTAATAATAATAACTATTGAGTAATTAATTATTAATTATTTATAAAATATTTAGTAAGTTATCATATATGAATATACAAGGAAGGATGGGAATGGTTATATTGGAAACGAAACTTTTTAATTTCCAGCCATTAGGGTCATGGCAATTAAGTATGATTTCATCAACGTCCCTTTAATTCAATGAAAATCTTTATTATTTATCTTTTACTTAGTCAATAATTATTTAATTTGACATTAATATTTTTAAATTAATTAAATTTAAATAATTATAATTAATACTGTCTATGAGATCAATTCCAACCGATTAGTAAATTATTTGATGCTTTATTAATTATAATTTTGTACCTATAATTGTTTATAAATTGTGACGATCAATTATTATTAATGATTAATATAAATATAGGTGGACTATAGATAGCCACAGTAGTTTAAATTAACTCACCAAAATCTTTGCCCAAAAATAAAAAAGTGCTTAGAAAAAACAAGAAGGAGTTATTATGTTATTGATTTTGCTTAACAATGAGTTTTAAATAGGGATATTCATAGTTATCAAAATCTCAAGTTGACTCTCTGAATTTAATATTTTTAATTTATAAAATTATATCAACTCACTCATAAAAGAATTAGATATAAACTTAATTAAACTTATGAATTTACTTTCAAGTTTATCATTTTTACGTTTTTAACTTATGGAATTATGCCAACTAATTCATAAACTTATACAAGATATAAGTTTACTTAAACTTATTAAACTTGTCAATTCAGCTCATAAAATTTATAGGACTTAGTTTAAAAAAAATTTAAAATGCAAAAACTAATATTAATAAAAAAACAAAAATATCAAAAATAAATTTCCTTATTTTAAAATTTTTATTTTTTGTATATGATAATTTATCAATGTAGATAAGTTTAATTTTAATGATTTATATTTTTAATATATTTAAATTAAATTATAATCATATTTTAATGGTTATTTGTTAATAGAGGTAAACTCTTACAAAATTATGATTCGAGTTTGCAATCAGAGTTTACATTTCTGTCATGAGTTTAACAAGCCTGGGGATATCATTAAAAAAAAAATATAATTAGTATTACAATAAGTACATTACATTAGATATCAAAAAATTCACCTAAAGTTACTCTATAATAAAGACTAGAAGGATTGAAAAAAAGATATTGCATTGAAAGTGTTTCTTTTGTTTTTGTTTTGTTTTGTTTTGTTTTTTTTGTTTTTTTTTGGTAATCTGCATTGAAAGTGTTTAGTTGTTGAACCGGTGCAATGCTCGGGGATTAACATAGCAGCCTCTTTCTTTTTATAGAAATTTTTAAATATATACTAAATTGATTACAATTTTATCTCATGAACAATGATAATTTTTGTACGGCCAATCTAGAGTGATAATTAGATATGCTCACGGGATAATAAATGCACGGGGTAATTAGATGCACTCGTCACCCAAAATTATTAGATATTTGATTTATCTCATATTTACCATAAGAAATCAATTCCGAAACTTATAAACGCACGGGATAATTAATATACTCGTTCTTTTAGTTTGAATTTAGAGACTCTAGCCATTATTTTATATTGATTTCTTTATCTCATCTTACAAGACTTCGTTGTGTAAAATTATGAATACCAATGAGCCTAATCAAGTATAATTTGGAATCTTAATTTCTTTAAAAAATATAAATTTCCCAAAATATCACTCATTTAATAAGGGAGTACGAGGGTAAGGAAACCATTTAAGAAATAAAACAATGAGGAATAACTTTAGAGTAAGTTTCATTAGTGAATTATTATTATTTTTAAATATCTTACAACACAAAAATATCTTACATATTACACGTTCTTTATATTGCATGTTATTCAATTGATTGTAAGAATGATCTTAAATGCAAATGCAAGGAGTTCACTCAGGCTCTTTTATTTTAATATGACCAACAAATATATTAGGTTGTGTTCACAACTCTATTTTCACTTTCTCTGCAAGAATTATTATACTCCAAAGAGCATCTTTCACATTCTATTAGACTCATTTTAAATTTTAATAAACATACTTCTATAATTTCTAATTGTATATAATTTTTGTTTAATTTTTTTTTTCAAAAATATGAGAATAAACATATATTTAAATTAATTGATATAATTCAATCGAATATATATCTTCCCGTAACTAATTAGAAGATATTCTTATCATTTTTTTGTCAACATTTTCCCCCAACATCACATGAAATATTTTTTTTACATTATAACATGAGTTGTGACTAGAAAATCTACTAAGTTTGATTTTAAAAAAATAACATTAATTCATTTGTTTTAACATTAAAATTGAATGCAGACGCATGCGTGTTAACAAATCTTCATTTTATCTAATAAGAAAACATTATTACTTACATTGAAATTTTTTAAATGTTGTTATCTTATAGGATCCAGTCATTTCTGCTCAACTCATTTTATGGAGGGGAAATCGTTATCATCATTATTTGTGTTTTTTCAACTTTCCATAAAAATTAAATATTTTTTAAACTAACAAGAATTATTTCCTAATTTTATAAAAAATGTACAATTTAAGTATTACAAGAATGTCCAGTTAATATATTATGTCTTAAAAATAATTATAATTATTATATTTAAATTAGCAACTTACACAGTTTAATTCTCCCACATTAATTAATAAGACATATAATTACATATAATTTCGATGAAAAAAATTGTGTGATAATTTTTTTGAAAATACACTATAAACATGACATCAAAATAACAAATATAATTATGTTAAATATATTACAAATATAAGAAAAGAACATCATTTTCATTTTCTGCATCAATTTTTTTTTAAATGAATCCTAATGCTCACGAGTTTATTTAACAAAGAAACATTAATATTTTAAATGTTAATGTCTCAAATACTTCACTTAATTGCCTCATAGATAATACGTGCAATGCGTCGGAGCTAGTTTAGTTTTTTCTGAGTCTTGTGCTTGCCTCATGCATTCAAAAATAAATAAATAAATAAATAAAAACTTCGATTGCCAAGTAGCATATGTGAAAACTTGCAGCCTAATTAACACGGAAAAGGCAATTTGGTTGGTCTTAATCCGCCCCTGTTTTCCCCACTAGGGACTTGGCCACTTGGCACTTGTTGGTTTTTCTATCTTGGCGCCATTATATTTTTATTTTTACTATCTAATTGTTTTTATTAAATTAAAATTTAAAAAACATAATTTCAAGTTTTTCTATTTAGTTTGAGTTTTATTATAAATTTCTAACTTTTTTTAATATTTTGAGTTCCTTTATTTTTATTTTTCTATGTTCTAAAATCTTTTATGAGTAGTGCTATGAAAATTTAAAATATTTAAAAATAAAAAATATAAAAACTTAAAATATTTAAAAAATGTATATCAAAATTCGAGCAACAAAATGTTCGTGCGCAGTTTTTCCATTAAAATTAACAAAATTGTGGCCGGACCCAGTCGATCCGCCCGAACAATCTCTCAGCAAGGGGGAAAAAAAAAATTAAAAAAGACTCAACTCCTCGACGTTTCTGAAATTCTGAAGAAAATTACTCCCGAGCGCGACTACAACAAGCCGCGACTGTGGAGAAGAAAAATCAATCCCCGCGCCATCTGAACCAACGTTGTCGCCGTAGGGTTCTTGTTGTGGTCCCTGGGTTCGTGCTTCGTGGGTTCTTTTACTCACTATTCACAGTGGAGTTCCTGCGTAGAAAATCTCTCAGTATTCACAGCTGGGTTCTTTCGCTTGTGTGCCTACTTCGTGGGTCGACTGGTTTCGTGGAGCTCCCGTTGTTGGTCGTCGTTGCTCTGTTGGTTGCTGTAGTAAGTCGCCGAGCACCATTGTCGGGGAAAGGGGTAAGTGAATGTCTTTCCTGTTTTTTTTTTTTTGCCTGCAATGCTTGAATTAATCCTATTTCTTGTCTTGAATTCATCTTATATGTCTCTGATAGTGCGAATTCTTCGTCATCTTAGTGCCTCTTAATCTAATTGGGACGAGATTGACATTCTGTTGCTTTACATTATGAATAAATGTTGTTTGGGCATCGTTTCGTGAATTTGAGGTTTCACATGGGTGGGTGTCGGGAATTACCGAAGAACAAAAGGTTTTTGAGACACTGTTCTTACAGACAGTTATTGTTTTGGGAAAAAGATTTTGTCTTGGGTGTTGGGAATGGTTTCATTGGATATCAGAACATTCCCGAAGAAGAAAAGCTTTTGTTAATTTAATTCAGATTATCAAGAGACCTATAACATCTGCCGAGTTATTTCGGTTTCAAAACTTCTGTTTCTGCGTTAATATTGCAGTTGGCATTATGACCTCTAAATACATTTAAAAACTTGGCCAGGAAGTTGAGGTCTAATCCCAAAAAAATTGGGAATCCTAATTACGATATCCTGAGAAATTCCCAGCTAAAAGGTGGGGAACTGCTGGAACAATCTTTAGCTTGACGTTTTGACAGATCATTAGCCTTTGTTCCTTTCACCAGCTATAGTTAACTAGGAGCATTATTAGATTCTTTTTTCCCCCAACGTCATGTTCTATCATGTTGTTTGCATATGAAAATTAAATACGTCTGTTTGATCATTGCTTCTTTATTGTTAAGTATTAATTGAACGGTTATGTAATTTAACGGTGAATTTCTTACGGGTCGTTTCAAAATATCGTGGAAAGTTTCATTCTGAGGTCTTCCCATGATTAAAATACCAGATATGGATGTAATTCTTAGCTAAGGGCACACCCTTTTGGCTTATATTGGATTATACAAGTCCAGATTTTATGATGGGACAGAGCTGCGTTTTATCATCACAACTTGTTTGCAATCTTTAGTACTGTCCAGGTTGCAGAATTGGGATTCGGGTTGAAGAAGTACGGTTAGTAGGCGTAATCAATCTGGTTCTCAATGAAAGAATAACTGTCTTACGGGAGCCCTAGCTTTATAGTAATGTAATATAATGACATCACCCACAAGATTAATTAGAATATCTTATTGAAGGTAAGGCATGGATTTTTATGCTTATATTATATTATTATAAATTCAACTGTTGACGGTGCACATCTTCTCAATTCTCATGATGCACTTATATTTGCATGCATATAAAAATACCGAGTCATGTTGAGCCGAAGATGCTTATTTCCTATCTTATTAAACTTTCACTTTAATAACTATGAGGCCTGGCGATGGAGCTTCGCAGATTTGAATTATAATTTCTGTGATTGGCAACTTTTTAGTTAAAAAGTAGATATAATATATTCCTATATATGGTGAAGTTAATATGGATTTGTCTATGTTGTAGGCGAGTTCTCAGGCAAAGAGTGAGAGATAGGTCATTTCTACTATTTGATCAGCTCTCTGAGATTTTCTACTATTATGCAGGCTGAAAGGTGGAAAGTATAGTGGGATCTTAAGAGGAACATTTTTGTTCTATGATTAGTTCCTCATTAAAAAAAAAATCTAAATTGTTTCTAGTATTCTTGTACTAAACCTGAGAAGAAGAACAGTGGCTAAGCTTTGTTCATGGCTTTGGAAATTGAATCGACTCCAACTCCGTCCAGCACCTCATCTGCTTTCCTACCTACAGTTATTTATTCCTTTTCCTTCTTACCATACCATTTCCATCACATCACACTTCCTTCTCCACAATCTTTAGTTTCTGATTCCCTTTTTCTTTTTTCTTGAAGGTTTGCTTGCACAGTTGGTGGTTGGTTAAAGCTGAAAGGGACTTCCATGGAAAGCTATTAGCTGTTGCTGGGTACACCTCCCGACAGTAAGACCCATTTGGCTTTTTAGGATTTCAGACCCACCTTCATTTGATTCCTTTAATTTTGCTGGGCTCTGTCAATATTGCCTTTTACTTGCCTTGTGGTCGTAGGCGACATAAATCACAATTGTATGAGGCTAAGTTGATGTTAAAATTATGATGTTCCCATCAGTCAAGATAAAATCTTGGGATGAAATGATGTTGATTTTCTGACAGAGTTTGACTGTTGCAGGCAAGATGCAAAGCGAGTGTTTGTTTCTGCTCCAATAATCAAAAGACATGATCTATCTACCTTGGAGACGGCTGATGGAATTTATGTTATTATTATAGGTTTCATTAATGAGCTGCACACTAACGAAAATGGCTTTCCAAGTGAGGTTTGTAAATATTAAAAACTTGCTCTTTCCTGATAAATACGTTCACTACTTTACGCTGCTTCATTGCATTGTTATCAGTGCAGTATTAATCTTAATCGATATGGTCATATTTTTCATAAACCATAAAAAATGATCACATTAAATCTGGATATGTTCAAACCTGAGAAATGCATCAATAAACCTTGGGCTGGGTTACTTCAGCATTCTACTTGCATGTAACAAACTGAATCCGGTGTTCCTAATCCTTAATTCTTGCATGTTTCTTTGCAATGTTTACTGATCTGGGTGTAGTCTAGTTTGCTTATTAAATGTTTGAGAATGTGAGCCAATAGAGCCACAGAGGCACAGGGCAATTTATAACATATGTTCGTGTTCCTTGAGGCAAGAAAAGATTTCATATCTGGGAATTTTCTTTACGTGCATTTATCTTGTTGCTATTTACTTTTTGGCCAGGTGTTCAATCATTTTCTATTTGGCTTTCCTCCCGACTGGGAGTGCTGTGTTGTCAACTTCTTCAAAGAAGTTGCTACTGGCATTGATTCTGGAAATATCATTACTTCTAATGAAGAGGAGCCAAAAAGTCCAGTTACACCCATTCAATCCCAGGGGGAAACGAATGAGTTGTCAGAACATTTTGCTGGAGGATCTGCATCCAGAAAGTCTAGAACTCTGCCAGGAAATACTGAGGATCAATGTAGTGCAGAGAAAGTAGTCCTTGGGCGTACTAGACCAGAAATGATCAACTCTGTCAGAAAAAAGACCAAGTCTAAAACGGCTGATCCTAAAGGAAAAATGAAGTCCATTGCAGCTGACACTACTAGGGGAAGCTTATCTGTTAGGAGGAGCAACAGGAGAATAAATTTTGACTCACATGTAAGTAGTAGCGTCTTATCTAATTACATGTTTATTTGTAAATGTTATCAATTGTATTGGCACTTGACCAGTTGACTATCATCTAGCTCCGATGGCTTTATTTGTAATACAATTTGATTAAAGGGTTGCTTCCATGTGTTTGGTTTGTGAAGGAGAAATTATCTGCAGTTTCTCCAGATTTATCCAATTTCAGGAGATCCAGATCAGGTGAGCATTACCTGTACTCTTTCTCTTAGTATTACTTTATCATTGGGGATGAGTGAGGGCATTTTAATTTTCCTGTCAATTTGGCTGTAATCAGTCTATATGCTTGGCGCCACATTTATGGAAAATGGAGAATTTACCAATCATCAAGTCAGTTTCAGATTATTCTTTTGTTATCGTTAATTGCTGTATGTTTCAGGTAGGCTGCTTCTTCCTCCTCTGGAGTTCTGGCGCAATCAGATGCCTGTTTATGATGCGGTATGTGATGTGCATGCATGATTATGTGAAGTTTTGCTCATCTTTTGTCAGTGCACGTCTTGCCTGGCTTGCGTATTCCATGTATGCTGAATGTGTCATGGTTTTTCACCTCCAGATTTGATCATCCTAGTTGGTCATGGTTCATTTATAATATCCTGCTTCTGAATTCAAGTAATTTCTGATTGTTTCTGCTGCATTCCAAATGCATGTGCTGGGTGTGCTTGACATTATTGTTCAATGTTATATTTCAGGACCACAGCCTAACAGAAATCCTGGATGGTGCATCTTTTTTATCTCCTTGTAGCGGTTCGTCTCCATCATTATTCATTAAGCTAGTTAATGCCTCTAGTTGAAGCGAGACTGAATCCAACGATTTGTATGCTTTGTGTAGCCGGCATATTCTTATGATTCAGCATCCATGTGCACTGAATTGATTCATTCTAGTGGTTATATCATGTAGCCTGATTAAGTACATGGTTTTGCACTTTTGTCCTAATGTTTGTAGGAAGCGGAGCACAATCCCAGAAAAAGCAAAGGAAGTGAGGGGTTGAATGAGGCAACACTGGCTATGAAGGTAATTCTAAAAAACATGACACAAAATCGGGCTTCTGCATGGGAAATTTGAGTATTATCTGGTGGGATTGGATAACATTTGAAAGTATTCTCTCGAAATTTTTTAGTGCCTAATTGGTACTATACTATAAATTTTTCTACCAAAGTTTTATTGAATTAACGTAGAACTTTTCTCCATCTTTAAAATATTCTTTGATCACCTTGTAAAAGACATTGCACTACAATTAGTCTAATTTTATTTTTTACTAAAATATCCTCCATTTAACCTAAGCACATATATTTTTCAAGTCATACAAAAGTTAGCACCTTTTTTGGGTTGTGAAAGCAGTTTTATTTTATTTTTAAATTGTTGGATGATGAAGATGATGGTATTGAGGTTACCAAACATTGATATCTGATTCTTGCAAGAAGACACATAATACTCCCTTTGATCCTATTATAATATGCATGTTTTAAGGATTTTTTGGTTCTTAATATAAGACAACTAACTAAAGTTGGTAATTTGAGCCAAATTAAATGGGCCAACCCAAATAAGCCCAAGAAAATTTACAACTGAATTTAACAAAATAATGCTTTTTTAATGTTTGGGCTTATTTAAGCCTACCCAAATACTCTAATAAAAAATATATAAGATATCCTAAATATTAATTTAATCATTTAAATTTTATGTCATTGAGATACTACATATTTGAATGCATTGTAGATATTTTTGAATAAGAATTTAAATATTTCCATTGTCATATTTTTGTTATTTTTAATCTATAAAATATTTCAAAATAATATTTAAAATGTATTTTGATATTGATTTTTAAATTTCAAGGCTCATTTTTTTAAAAAAATTTGAGTCTTTTTAAGTATCCCAAAAAATATATTATATATTTTTAATAAAACAAAAATAATTGATTTTAAAGTAAAAATTAAGTTAAAATTAATTTTAAAAAATAAAATTGATAATTGGGGTGTTCGAATTGACTTAAATAAGCTTGAAGCTTGAAGAGGTTTGAGCCAAGTTTGGCTATTCTGGCTTTTCTATAAATTGAGTTGTTGAACCCGATCCACTCAAATTATTGACTTTAGTATTAGTTATGTTTTTTTAATATTACTTCTATTTAGACTCTTTAACTATGAGAGAGAATATAATATAATTTTTTTAAAAAATATTTAAATATGGATAAAAGTAAATTTATTTTATTTTCAAACAAAATTATTGACTAATTACCTTTCTTTGGTTTTCAGTGAAATAGTTAGAAATAGTTAGAAGTGTATTTAGATGGATTGAGCTTATTTTAATGGAACAATTAAAATTGAACTAAAATATACATGATGAAAGTAAGAAAATGTTTTTTCACTTTTGACAACTCATGAAGGGTTAATGTTAGTCATAAATTTTACAGTGAAGCAAGAGTAGTCACCCGCATGTATTGTCTCTCGTGGTATTAAGGTGATTGAAGCTTCCATTGGATCAGATGGCCCTCCCCCTCTGTGATGCCTTGATTAAGAATGCTCAAGCATCATGCTCTAGTGACACTGTTTGAACAGGATCAGATGTAAAATAGTCGACTCATTGTACTTGTGGTAGAGTTTGGTTATATATTTTGCTTTCATGCAACACAAATTTATTCCTCTTTTCTGTGAATATGAGCATTTAAGTGCCTATTATGTAGCATCCCAATTTTTATTTTGGATTTAAGTATTATTGATATAATATTTTATGATAATTGAAATTTATCATGTAATTAATTTGGTGAAGCATGTTTACTCAAAAAAATTAAACATATATTTTTTTAGAAAAATAGAAAATTATGATTTGATGATATTAAATTAAGATTTAAAACATTTCATATTATAAAAGTCTTAAATACACACACAAACACAAAATAAAATTTTATTATTATATATATATATATATATATATAATCAAAGACAATAAGTGGGCTATGACATTGAGGGTATTTTTTTTTTTCAATTGAACATTTAGGGTATTATTAATACGAATGCTGCAAGGAGGCACTACTGGTTTTTCAGCCGTGGGCATGATGAGGCGATGTGAGATAGCAAGAGAGATCCATAGTGAGGGAGAAAGATATCTACAGGAATTTTATTTGGGTGCTATTGAATTCCAAAATATTTATTGGGTTAATTTCAAGGCTTCAAAAATTAGATAAGTGGTCTAGCTTCTCTTATTTTATCTTTTTGATATTCGTAGATTCTTATTAGGAAAAAAAATCCTAAGATTTGATAGATTTTAAATTGTTAGCTGTCCTCAACTAATTATTTTAATTGCTAAAAGAGTTAATGATGTTAGATTGAGAATTTACATGGTTTAGTCTTTACCAGATCATTAGGATCCTGAAGTATGATTTAATGTTATGAGAGATTTTCCGGAAATGAATTTTGATTGAATTATGAACTAGTGGTGTAGGACATTTTCTCCAGAGGGTAAATTTATTTATAAATAAGCTAAAAATAATGATTTGAATTAAATATATATATATATATATACACATACATACAGAGAGAGAGAGAGAGAGAGAGAGAGAGAGAGAGAGAGAGAGAGAGAGAGAGAGAGAGAGAGAGAGTTGGAAGATAAACCTTAGAGGTAGGGTTAGAGACTTTAGGGAAAAATTGAGTATAAAGAGTTGGTTTTTTAATTTATAGAGAAGAAAAATGGATAACAATTTATGGAAATTAATTTAAGTTATGAGATATAGTAGTTTAGGGATTAATTGTGGAATGTTGGGGATTGTTAGATTTAATTTTATAAACAAAATAAATTACTGAAATTTATTATTATTATTATTATTATTACTATTATTATGATTATGATTATGATTATGATTAATTTTGTAGAGTAACATTTGAGTTAGTGGTGTTGAACATGTCCCTGCACATGTTGTTTTGGCTTGGGAAAAAATAGGTAATAATGATTTATTCTTTCATATACTAGGAAGATGTTGGATTTTATTATTACATATATATGTATAAATTGCACTAGGAATGACTGTGCCTAGCAGGGGCTTATTTGATTGTCTGGATCTGAATTGGAATATATGTGTAAACATTTCTATTATCATTGTATACTTTTTTGAAATGTATATATATTATTTCAATTCTTTTCAAGCATGCTAGTGTCTTGGATTAAAATTTGATGATAAATGGATATATATGATTACTCAAGTCCTTCCAAACACGATTGTGAATATTTGAAATTGTATGAGAAATATGAATTTTTTTTTTCAAATATGCTTATATATTTTGAAATCTCGTAAACGTGATGTCCTTAGAGGGAGTATAAGAGTAAATATTGTGATCGAGGATGGATATGATGGGAGATTATGGCTTGACCAATGCCATGTGGTCACCTCCACTTAATGCACAATGGATAGTTATTTGTTAGGGCCCCTTTCCTTAAGTTAAGATTGTGAGAAATTGGGCATCTCATTTTTAAGAATAATTATTTATTAGTATTAGATATTAAAGAAGGTATTAGATTAGTATTAGAGTTATTTAATTTTAATCAGTATTAGAATTATTTATTCTATTAAGTTATTCTATTAATAAGTAATAAGATTATTATATTAAAAAATTATTAAATTAAATATAGAATATTATAATATATAAATATTCATATAGAGAGATGATAGAAATGTGAAATTGTGTGTGTGTAAAAGAAAGGGCTCTTTTCAATTGGAGAGAGAGGGCTGAGTAGACTAAAGCATTGGATATGTAATTTCTGCAAAGAAATACTTAAATAAATTGAATGTATCATGTCATTTATAGTTTGTTTAATAAAATCATGACATTTAGATCACATTAAATATAAATTAATTTTGATATTAATGATAATAGAAGAAAAAATGCAAGAAATTAAATATACATTTTGTTATAAAAATAAAATCAATTAAAAAAACATTACACAAGATTTTATTTAGATTACTTAAATTATTTTAATTAAACAGATTATAAATGATGTGATGCACTCAATCTATCAAAGTATGCAAGCTTTCTCAGTTAACAAATTCACACATGCTGTAAATTGTTTTCCACAAATAAAATTATAAAAGATATTTAAACAGAATCCAAATTCACATGATTAAGACCATATACACGGAATATTACGGTTAGTGCTTTCTTCTTCTTCTTCTTCTTCTTCTTAAGTACAGCTAGCGCTTTGTAAAATTACTAAAATATAACAATTTTTTCAATATTATAAGATTTCTTATAGAGGGTTCCAATCCCTTTCTTTCCATTTCCATTAATGAATTTGTGTTTTATTTACCTTTTAAATTTATAGAACATAGTCTCTTTTATTTCTTTTCTTTGTTTGTTTTAATTTTTGATTAACTTTTATTATTATTTATATGATTTAATTTTTATCTCTTTAATTGAATATAATTATAATTTATTATATTTATACATTTAATAGTTAAAATTAAAAGATGTAAAATGGATAATGGATAATAAAAATATTTTTTATTCTTCACGTCTTGAATTATGTCTTTGATGGATAGATAGGAATCCAAAAATAAAAAGAGAAACAAAGAATATGACTATTGTGTAAACAAAAAGTTTTTGAATAAAATTACACAATCTCCAAGATCATTTAAAAAAGAAAAAAGAAAGAGAATAAATTCTCCTATATTAGACATGAGAATTTACACTGTAAAACTGATCTGATATTAAAAATTAAAATTGTTAAAGTGTTTTATTTTTTTTGAATAAATTATGACTTTTTTTAGAAAAGTGGAGATTTTTCTGTGCATGCAAAAGTTCCGGCAGCTAAATTAATGTTGGTTGGATGAGGAAAGTGTGCCTTTATATACCATTCCGTTAACAGGTACATTAATATACATGTGAATAGTGTGGGTGACCCGATTTTTCCACGATGAACAACATTAACTCGGCATTGAATGTAGGGGAGGAATTATTTTAATGAAATTGATATAAAGTGGAATTATAAAATTATAAAAAAATTAATAAAGAGATGTAAATTAAAAGAGTTAGAAATATTAATTAAAACCTTGCAACCATAATTTCCCATTTTTTAAAAGTGAAATCATCATAATCAAATTTAATGTATATAACCTAACAAGTAAAATGTTCATGAATGGTTTTAAATGTAGGTCAAACTAGACGGTTGGACTGATAGTGGTTCGTTTTATAGAGTTAGACCATTTAAGGGTTAAATTTTCTTCCCTTATTGAGAATAAGAACGGGAAAAAGAACAAAAAAGAAGGGAGAAATAGAGAAAAAGGTGACAAGTAGCACATAAAACACAATAAATTAAGATGAAAAAAATGAAAAAAAATTGAAAAAAAGGCCCGATCTACCTTTTCTTCTTCAACAAGTGGCAGCAACAAGACGATAGAGTTTAGATCTACAAGACTACAAAATGAAAAAAGGGTGGAGGAGGACAAATAGTAGGAGATGAACTGAAGTTGATGATGGGATGGGGAAGGAAGGAATTGGAAGAGCACGGTGACCCAATAGAAATAACAGAGGATTTGAAATCTTGAAGAACTATCGTGGATCAAAAAATGGCATTTGCAGAGCTATTAGTGAAGAGATAGGAAAGAGTTGCTTTGAATAGCATAAATTATCGATGCTAAAATGGAAAAAATTGCTTTGGATAGTGTAAATCATCAAGGCTAAAATTGTGAGAACTGTGATTACATTAGTTATGATTTATTTATTTTTATTAAAATATTTGTTAAGACTTAATAAAAAATAAAATCTATTTTTTTAATGGGCGAAACTGCCCAAATCAAATCACAAGCATGTAGTTGGGTCTAAAAAGAATCATTTTTTACTACTAAAATCATATTTAATTTAAATAATGGAAATTGTCTGATCAAAGTAAAAGTTATATAATAGAAATTTAATTTGATAAAATAAAAAAATTTTGAATTTTTAATTTACGTTATTGGTTCTTGAAATGTTATTCTTAATGTTATTATTTTTATATTAAATTATCAATATTTTATTAAAATATATTAATTTAATTATAACCGATCTGATGATAGTTCAATCACAATTCAACTAAAAAAAATGTAAATTAGCACCTTCACTGATTTAATGATAGAGTTGGTTTTAAAACAAATTGCCAATGTTTACAATGTTGAGGCAGAATGTCCTTTTGTCACGTTTGACGTTGTCCGTGCTTCTCAATAAAAATAAATATAAGAAAAATTAATTATTTATTTTTATAATTTTAAATCAATTATAACTTAATTTTTAAATTTTAACTTATTATAACTCAATCCTTAAAGTATTAACTTTATTATAAATCAGTTTTAAATTTTGCCTATCACAATTTAGTCTCTAAAACTTTAACCTCTTAAATATTGATTTCTATATTTTAAAAAATATTAAAAATATTTTAAAATTTATTATTAATATCTTAAATTACTAAACCCCTTTAATATTTATAAAAATTATAAACTTAAAATATTTTTAATCTTTATAATTTTATTTTTTAAAATATAAAAATTAATATTTAAGAGGTTAAAATTTTAAAGATTAAATTATAAAAGATAAAATTTAAAGATAAATTTATAACTGAGTTCAAATTTTATAAATTAAATTATAATGAATCAAAAATTGAGGTTAAATTCAAATATTAAATAATTATTTTTTAAATATTAATAAGATAATTCTCTGGTGCGTTTTCGTTTTCTCTCTGACTGACTG